CTGATCCTCTAGTGACAGGTTCAGTGCCTTCTTAATGGTTGACCTCAGGTGTGCGTCATATTCGTCGAGTGTTGGGTTGTCAAAAGAGGGTGCACACCTCAGGAAGTGAGTGAGTCTTGGAATAGTAAGGCACCTTGTGAGGAGATACAGAGCATCATGGGCATCAAGATTGCTTATTCTCTCCTCCATTCTCATCAGGTCATTCAATTTGTCCTTGAGGACAGTGTCGATGGCCTGGTGACTCAGCGGTGCTCCCAAGAGGGTACTGTTGGATGGAGTGGTAGTAGAGACTTCTGGGAGGATTCTTCGCACATCATTGATTATTTCCTGGTTCGTTGTGATGATTTCACACTTGGAGGGATTGAGGATGAGTCCCAAGTCTTCCCCCTGTGTTTTCACCAGTTGTAGGTCCCTTACCAGGGACTCTTCAGTACCTGCCAGAGTGCCATCATCCAGGTACCATATGTTGAGCTCACTGCGTAGGCTGGACACTAGTTCTCTTACTACCAAGCAGAAGAGAAGTGGAGCTGAACTCTTTCTGATGAGAGAATTTCATGTTCTCCGAACAAAAGAATTGAGGGTTTGCTGTAGCCGGCTGAAATGAAGGGAAAAAGACTGGGGAACCAATCCCGAACAGCTGGCAAGACAGCATCTCTTTTCACCATATTAAAGGCATTTCTAAAATCAAGTTTGACTATGGCCTTGTCTTCTGGTAAGCCCTTGCCGCATGAGCTGCAGCTTCACTGCCTTGAGAGACCCCAAAGCCCAGTTGGTGTGGCTGGAGTAAACTGGCAGCTTCTAGGCGAATGTTTCTTACTGCTGCTTTGGCAACGAGACGGCGAAGAGTGTTTCCTACCGCAATGGGTCTGATTCCCCCATCCTTCTTCTTCAACGCACATAGTGAGGCTCCAAAAAGAAAGGTTTAATTTCTTCTGGGATTCGCCCAGCCAGGCAGTTGTTGACGAAAGTTGTTAACTCGGTGAGAAGAATTGATGCAGATGCACCGAATACTGGATTTACCATCTCTTTGAGGTGCTGAGGTCGAATTCCAGTGTAACCTCCTGCAGATCCTGCTGGAAATGACACAATCGCCTTATAGACTTCCGATTCTGGCAAAATTAATTGTTCAGTGATGGGGTCTTCCTCAGGGTTGCTGTCTATGATGTCCCTGGTTGGATGCTTGTCTTTTAGTGCTTGGGCCGTGGTTTCGTCTTTGGGGGCTACAGTGTTGTCACTTGTAATTATTCAGATTGCTCCCACTGTGTTACCTTCTTCGATTTTTTTGCTAACCTGTGCGCAGATTTTCTCGTTTTCAGTGGGACTTTTCTTGGGTCTACCTCTGTCATTCCTGCGATGATGGGGCAGAGGGACAATTCTCTGTTCTTGGGTAGTTGTGCACTGCCTTGATAACTGACGTGGTTAGCAGTATATGCAAAATAACCACTGTGAAAGAATAGAGAAATTCTTTTCACAGTGGTTGTTTTGCATATTTTGAAATCACCTGTTTACTGTGATCTTATTGCATATATATATATTATATATATATATATATATATATATAAAAATATTGGGAGGTACCACCTCTAGAACTGTTATGGGGACCCTCAGAGAAAAGAATAAACTTGCTTCAGGGAAAACTCAAGATTCTCCCTGAAGCTGTTTGAGAATTTTCTCCTACCACCCCATATATTATATATATATTATATATATATATATATATATATATATATATATATATATATATATATATATATATATATATATATATATATATATATATATCCTAGGTAGTAGGTTGGTAGACAGCAACCGTCCAGGGAGGTACTGAGGTACTACCGTCCTGCCAAGCGAGTGTAAAACGGAAACCTGTAATTGTTTTACATGATGGTAGGATTGCTGGTGTCTTTTTTTCTGTCTCATAAACATGCAAGATTTCAGGTACATCTTGCTACTTCTACTTACACTTAGGTCACACTACACATACATGTACAAGCATATATATACATACCTCTCTGGATTTTCTTCTGTTTTCTTTCTAGTTCTTGTTCTTGGTTATTTCCTCTTATCTCCATGGGGAAGTGGAACAGAATTCTTCCTCCGTAAGCCATGCGTGTCGTAAGAGGCGACTAAAATGCCGGGAGCAAGGGGCTAGTAACCTCTTCTCCTGTATATATTACTAAATGTAAAAGGAGAAACTTTCGTTTTTTCCTTTTGGGCCACCCCGCCTCGGTGGGATACGGCCGGTGTGTTGAAAGAAAGAAGAATGTGTGTGTGTGGTGTTACTATGAGGATAGTAGTATATAAATATGATTTTTCTTTATAACTAGTAATGCATAAAATTCTAACCTTTTTATCACTTAGTTTTCCCCTCAGTTATACTGTATATGGGATAAGTGCACATCATACTGCAAGTGTGCATTTTTTATGTGAATGATATGTATGCATATTTATTTAGTTTTTAACAAAATGCACTAGATGGGTGACTAAAATTTCTGCCTGGACTAGATTGCATTTAGTTGGTCAGTTTTGTTAGTGACTAGTTTCTAGAACTAGGTGAAGCATTATCCAGCATTGGATTAATAACAGCAGCAAAAACCATATAATTACCTTACCTATGTTTACATATCTGAATTAGGGGGTGGGGGGTTAGCTCCAGTTTATGGGTCTACCTTTTAACTCTTATTCAACTGACATAATTTAGTGTTGTCATGTATACCTTTCTCTCCATGGGCAAGTGGAAGAGAATTCTTCCTCTGTAAACCATGCATGTCATAAGAGGCGACTAAAATGCCGGGAGCGAGGGTCTAGTAACCCCTTCTGTATACATTATTAAATTTAAAAAGAAAAACTTTCGTTTTTCTTTTTGGGTCACCTTGCCTTGGTGGGATATGGCCGAATTGTTGAAAAAAAAATGGTGTACCTTTTATATGTACTACAGATATTATAGGACATTATTTGATCATATGTTAAATATTAAGCACGTTTATGTAAAGCATTTCAAGCTTTATTAAATTTTATAGCATTACAATTACTAGTCATGATGATGTAATCCAGCCAGAATCTTCTCCCCATGAGTTGTATGACTCCTGCAGATTTAGCACTCTTCTGTGAAAATAATTATCTCCAATCTTAGATGCACAATTTAGGGGAAGTTAGTCTTTATTCACTATACCACACAGAAGCTCCAGCTCCCATAACAGTTGTCAGACTACGTGCCATTCCTGTCTTTCACTTTCGTTTGGCAAGTCAAAGAGGATCTTGTAGCAAACATGAATATGAATTTTTTTATTATATTTGTATCTTTGAAATTTATGTTTTGCGATCTAGAAATATCTGAAAGATACTTATTGCTCAATTAAATAATGGAAAGTGAAATTTATATGTTATTAGGAAGAATATTTGAAAAATATAAAATGTACAGCATTAGTTACTTTTGTATAATGTCGGAAAATAAAATAGGGATTTTTTCTATTGTTTTAGCTGATGAATTTACTCTCAAAACATTTAACACTATGAAAGCACTAAGATTAACATTTAAGATAAGGTTGGAGAGCAAAATAAAACTAAGGAAACGAAGGTAATAACAGTTTAGGACAATAAGGTAAGGAAGTTAAGATGCAAACTTGGTGATAAAACTGTGAATGTTCGAGTGTCGTTAATACTGAAGACATGAAAATGACAGTTTTTATTACCAGTAAATTCTGCATATAGTTGTGGAATTGGTGGCAATTTATTTATAATAAATATATTGGAAAGTCCCTCAATATGTGGAGCATTTTGGGCAGTGTTAAGAGTACAAAGTTTTGTTTTCCCAGATTATTAGAATGCTGTGTTATAAATAATTCTGAAGGTGGGAAGTACAGTGCCTTCACTCTGAAGGATGGGTAGGATGTAGTGGTTTGGGTGCTTATTTGAATTATCATGTCTGAGCTTCTGGAAAGTGGGCTTGAGTAATGGTGTTTTTTGTAACACTTCAGTCATCTCCCACCAAATTAGGCCCTCCCCCCCACCCAAGAAAAAAACAACAACATTCATTCAGCAGTTGTCTTGCCAGAAGTGCACAACCATCTTTAATTCAAATGACCCTTCATTTTGCAATATCTAAACTGGTCACAGGTAAATTGGTTTAACGATTATATTTTGCGTCAATGAGTTGAAAGGTAAGAGATGGGACCAAACTTGAGTTTAAATCCTGCAAACTTAAATAGGTAATTACAATCCAAGGACAATAGTACATAAAGGGAATGTAAAGAATTTGTTAAAAACTGCAGTTCCAGTTTTGGAGGTTTTAAATAAATGAAAAAATTTCAAGTACAGTGGAGCCCCGCTTTACGATCACCTCCCAATGCCACCAGTTATGTAAGTGTATTTATGCAAGTGCGTTTGTACGTGTATGTTTGGGGGTCTGAAATGGACTAATCTAATTCACAATATTCCTTATGGGAACAGATTTGGTCAGTACTGGCACCTGAACATACTTCTGGAATGAAAAAATATTGTAAACCGGGGGTCCACTGTATTATGCTATAATATGAAAGAACAGATGTCTCTCCATATTTATGAAATAGAGGATATAAGAGAAAATGAGAATGTTATTCATAGTATATACAAGAAGTGGCTAAAAATTAGATAGTCTTGCTGATATGATAAATTACAGAAATGATGAATAAGTAATATAAAAGTATGAAAATAATGTTACATTTTGAATAGAAAGGGATGCAATGGATTTGTATTGTTTTAGGTGCATATAGCAAATACAGACAAACTTTTAAATACTGTACAGTAATTAATGGCCCTGTATTTCTGAGGTGGTAATATTACCTAACTAGGATAAATGATCTATGATATTTAAAGTTATTATTTTTCATTACAAAATATGTGGATATTTTTCTCAGTGTAAGTAGAGCTTGGAGTATCCTGATGTGAGAATACAGTTGACATTCGGTAATGACTGGTGACTACTGACCTGACTGACAAATTGACTGCTTCTTTCCTCACAGAGTTCTCAGGGGTCCATGATACTGGCTCAGGCCACACCAGTCTCGGCCCCACAAGCCTTTGGCTCTCCGGCCCACACCTCTGCCCAGGTGGGTCACGCCCGCTACCTCCTACATCACCTGGCTTAGGATTTTTATATACCGCAGTATATAAACCATTTACTTGTAAACCATCCTAGGCTGCTTTTAAAACTGGACAGTTATTCTTGGGCACTGTGGTCTCAGTGCTGAGTAATGTTGTTTTTTTAAAGTGACAGCATCCCTTTTAGCACAGCATAGACTGGGTCACCCCAACTACAATACTTGTCATAGGAAAGTCTGGTTACCCTTCAGTTGATCTTGTATAGCAAAAATACTTTCAATACATTCTCTTTCCTCATGTTTTAATTAAGGAATAAATGATTATAACATTTACTAACTGATAGTTTAAAAAAAAAAAATACATGACCATTCACAATCATAATCCTTTCACTGGTGTAACCCCTGAAATTAACTGCTGATAATGTCACAGTTTAAAAATTAATTTTATCTTTGAAAATTCTAGAGAATCTTTTTTTAAAGGTAATCAATCATACCAAAAATGTGAAAATTAATGGAAAACTTACTGAATTATGCAGGTGCAAATTTATGCATCAGCAATTTTGCCCACCTCGAGTCCTGTTTTTAACCAGTTCCATGTTCAGCGAGTCCAAATTAAACACTAGGCATTCAGGCCACTAAAGTAGCCTTTCCTCTGTTCAGTTAATTACATATCCAGACCTCTCCTCTGTAACACTTACCCTCCATTTGAATCCATCATCACACAGAAAATTTAAGTTTTGCCCTATTTCTTGGATAATAAAATATCAAGAATCATTGGTCATGGTTTTTGCCATCTCAATAATTGAAGCAGACGTAGGAAAAACCAGTAAAACAGACTGAGTATTAGGGGAAGGGACCCTACTCTTTTTCAGGAAAATTGCCAGAAATTTAGTATATCTGTGCCAATTTAAGACTATTTCAAAACACTTCCAGACTGAAACTTATGAAAACCATTTCTGCTTCACTAGTATGTCTCTCCTGTCAATTGATACCTAGAAACAGTCATTAAAGCCATAAAAACTACAAGAAAACACCTGAAAGTTGCTGTTTTAAACCAAACATGAGGTAAATGGTTTGCTTTTCCCATCGTGAGGGCAGTTTTATATATACGTGTATATATATATATATATATATATATATATATATATATATATATATATATATATAATTATATATATATATATATATATATATATATATATATATATATATATATATATATATATATATTTCTTTCAACACACCGGCCGTATCCCACCAAGGCAGGGTGGCCCAAAAGGAAAAACAAAAGTTTCTCCTTTTACATTTAGTAATATACAGTGGACCCCCGGTTAACGATATTTTTTCACTCCAGAAGTATGTTCAGGTGCCAGTACTGACCGAATTTGTTCCCATAAGGAATATTGTGAAGTAGATTAGTCCATTTCAGACCCCCAAACATACACGTACAAACGCACTTACATAAATACACTTACATAATTGGTCGCATTCGGAGGTAATCGTTATGCGGGGGTCCACTGTATACAGGAGAAGTTACTAGCCCCTTGCTCCCGGCATTTTAGTCGCCTCTTACAACACGCATGGCTTACAGAGGAAGAATTCTGTTCCACTTTCCCTTGGAGATAAGAGGAAATAAACAAGAATAAGAACTAGAAAGAAAATAGATTAAAACCCAGAGGGGTGTGTATATATATGTTTGTACATGTATGTGTAGTGTGACCTAATTGTAAGTAGAAGTAGCAAGACGTACCTGAAATCTTGCATGTTCATGAGACAGAAAAAAGGACACCAGCAATCCTACCATCATGTAAAACAATTACAGGCTTTCGTTTTACACTCGCTTGGCAGGACAGTAGTACCTCCCTGGGTGGTTGATAATAATATATATATATATATATATATATATATATATATATATATATATATATATATATAATGTCACATTCGCTGCACAGACCCATACTCATGTGTCTAGGCCAAAATTTATCACATGTAGCATATTTGAGGGTGCTGGGCTTAACTTTTTCACTGTCTCTTATCTAGAGCTGCGTTATTGATGCCAGCATCGCATAGATCTACATTTTAAACACAGCTCCCTCACATATGCTGTGAGTGGTAAATTTTGGCCTAAACATGAGAGAATGGATCAGTGAGGCGATTGTGCACTGTATAAAAACTCCTGCCCTCACACAGTGCATGATAGGCAATGCAAACCTCTTACCTTGTTTGAGCTATAACTGATTTTGAGGTGTTTTCTAGGATTATTTTATTGGCCGTTTCTTAACCCTTTCAGGGTTTCTGACATACTAGTACAGCTTACGCACCAGGATTTTTGAGGTACTAGTACGCCTAAATTCTAGCGCCCTCAAATCTAATGAGAGAAAGCTGGTAGGCCGACATATGAAAGAATGGGTCTGTGGGGTCAGTGTGAGCAGTATATAAAAAAAAATCCTGGAAGACGTATTACAGAAATTGGGACGATTTCAATTGGTTTTACAATGAAAAGTACCTTGAAATTGAGCTCAAAGTAGCAGAAATGTTCGATTTTTGCCAAAGTTCAAAAGTAAACAAATCATGCTACGTGTCCAATACACGTCAACTGGCGAGTCTAATATTAGCCATACCACGGGCGGGGATAGAACCCGCGAACAGAGTCTCAAAACTCCAGACCGTCGTGTAAAAAATGCCAATGCATGAATTGCACCCAGACTGCCAACTTTGCACTTGCATAATCAAGTTTTCCCATCAGATTGTGTATTTTTTTGGTCATTACCTTCAGAAAAATATTCTATACTAAAGAATTTTTTAAAATTCCCAACATTGTCAACACTTTTAATCTTGCGGCTTCCGACAGTGAAGGAGTTACAACATAGATGTGAACAACACTGTCATCAGTAACAGATCTATGTGGTTGGCAGTGAAAGGCAAAGAAATAATCTAAATAAGTTAACCCTAACTACACTCTGTAATCAGATTAAAATATCACATCTTTATCCATTTTTTTCCATATTTTGTGAAATTTTTAGTGCTGTTCATTTTTTTGCTATAATATTTTTCCCTCCTCTCTTTTTAAATTTAGTTAGAGTTTAGTAAATAGTTGTTTAATATATTTACAGACAAGGTTGGAAAAAAAAAGTGAATGATAGGGTGTTGGGAAGAGGTGTGGGATTAACATGTGATTTGAAGTGGGAATTTTCAGTTTCTTCTTGCTGATGACAGTTTTTTGGGAGATTCTGAAGAGAAAGTTTGGTGGAAGGGTATAAATGAAGGGAATTAAAAGTGAACAGAGAAAAGCAATGAGAAATTATATCTCAGTTTGAAGGGGAGTGAGTATAGAGGAAGTAAATGTCTAGGTATTTGGGAATGAACACAATGGGGTTCAGAAAAATGATGGCAAATGCTTCCTTTATGCAGGGATAGAAATATTTTAGGCAACTTTAAAGATTAGTTGGCTTTGGTACTATCATGAAAGCACTATCAAGGTTGAATACATCTCAGCAAGCTCATTGTCTTTCCATACCCCAGCCGGGATTGAACCCGCGGTCATAGTCTCAAAACTCCAGCCCGTCGTGTTAGCCACTAGACCAGCTAGCCACAATAAGATTCGTCCAACTAGGTATATTTCTACACCATAGGAAAGTTAGCACAGCAATCGTGTCATTACGATTTCGTGAGTCTCATTGTCTTTATATGGGTTGTTTATGGGGTTTAAAGCCTATCACCTACACAAGAGCCAGTGTAGCTACATGTAACCTATACTACACCAGCCAAAGATATTGAGAAACATACATTTTATGTATATGTTACATTGTCCTTCCATCTTAAAAGAAATGTGTGTCAGGTAGTATAGCCCAAATTCTCTACAGGTTTCATGCACTTTCATGTTCATTTTTCTGGTAGTGTGTACAGATTATAGCACTACTATATTTGTATAACTTCATATAACTTTTTAACCCAGATAGACTGATATATGATAAATTAATTACTGAAGACGGAGAACCACAAGTATAGCTCTACTTCTGTAATTTCAAATAGGGAATCTGATGGTTCTGTTCCTTCTGAACACTCTTTCATTGATGCTCTTTTTCTTCTGTGCATTCCCTTTCACTGATGGAGAGCCCTCATGCTCAGTGATGTAAAAGTACATAGGTTTAAATAATTTTGGATTATTACACACTAGAAAATAGTGCACCGATGGTGATTACAAGGAAAAAGAGCAGAGGTCAGGAGGAATAGGAGGGTCAAAATGAAATGTGAGAGTATGTTGATGAAAAGGGTGTCAGTAGAGGAGTTTTGTAAGGACACAAATTCTTAGAGAAAGCAACACTCATCATTCTACTGTTCAGTGGGGAAAATTATATATTAGATGTAAGTAGATAGGAATAAAAACCAAGTAAAGACTAGGCTGAGAAAGAGAACAAATTTTCACCTTAAATGGCTTCTCTACTTAATGTTGCTTCAGAGAGATAACATACCTCATCAGTAACTGAAGAACTGGTTGCAACTTTATTTGGGTTTCTCACAAGGTCATTATTTACCTCCTGACTATAATCACATTGGATATCACCTCTTACACTGCAGAACTTGCTTTAGGACTATCAAAGTGCCTGCCTGTATCAAGAAGGCCAAATGGTGTATATGTACTCATGTGTGGTTCCAAGGGGTGAGTCTTAGCTCCTGGCCCTGCCTCTCAACTTGCTGCTTGCCATATTTACTCTTCTACCCTTGTGGGCTTTATTGTACATGCTCTTAAAGCTATGTATGGAGTCTGCCTCCAATTCTTTGTTGAGGTCATTCCACTTCCTGTCTACCCCAAGACTAGATGTACACATGCTTCAACTTGTGTACTTTTAGATTTTATTTGTTCTTACAACTCTATATTTAAATTTGGACAACTGTCCAACACTTTCAGTGGAAGACAACTTTTTTCTACCTTTCTGAAACTAGGCATGTCTAAGATTATTACCTACCCATCAGCTGCATAGCCCTTGTGGCTTAGTGCTTCTTTTTGATTATAATAATACCTACCCATCTCCAATTTTAAGTTCCTTGATTACTATATGGTATCCAGAGGCCCATTTTATTTTTGCATTAATTTGTTTATTGAAAGGGTGATTTGCTATTGTATTGGCCCACCTCTCGTATTAAATTATTATAATAAAAAAGAAGCGCTAAGCCACAAGGGCAATACAGCGCTCTCGTATTAAATACCATACTTTCATTCACAACACCTTCACTGACCCATACCTTAGGATGACTCATTTTTTACCTTAAAAGATTTTTTTTTTTATTCATTAATTTTACAGGCTTATGAGCTGTTATCCTACCTGCAAAGTAGATAAAAGAAATAGAACTTAGTCTGGCTGGTGTTAAGTCTGAGGATTCTGTCTTCTGTGGCCCAGTCTTTGACTAGGCACCCTGATTGCTGACCTGCTCATATAGGCTATTGCTGCACAATAGCCTAGTTGATCAGAAACATTTAGAAACCTTGTTAGTGTCTTTCTGAAGACAAGTTTTTTGGTAATACTTTTATTTGAAGGGAAAGTGTCAAGAAACCTTTGATCATTGTTAGAGATCTTTTAGTGTACCTATTGCACTGTGCTTTTCATTGAGGATATCTTTAAGTAAAGTATTTAGAGAAGTATGTATTGCATTTGTAGAATAGGTTTTGAGGTGCCCTATATTGTTGTAAATGATTTGCAGTGAAGTGAAAAATTCATTACAGTTACTTTAAGTTGATTCCCTCATTAAAGGGAAGCTCTAGAAGGAATGAAGGATTGAAGATTTTATATACAAGACATTACATCCATTCCTCTATATATTTCGCTAAGTTATTTACAATTTTTTCCCTAATATCTAACAAACAACATTTGATTTACCATCCTTAATTGGGTGTACCTTTCCCTGTTGCTATTTTCAGGTCTGCTGCTTCTGTACAGTAAAATACAAAAACTAACAGTGCTTCCTTATAATACAATATGTTTTACAGACTTCTTCAGATATCAGCTTACCATTCATACAACTTTTTAGCAAACCTTAACCATTTGTATTAATTGCTATTATAAATTTCCTAGGTATTGCTTTCAAATAAAACTTATTTACAGTTATTCACTGATTAGGAAATCTAGTACCAAAAAAAAAAAATAAAACTTTAGTACTAGTAGGGTTACAAGTTTTTATGTAATTTTCAGAAGTGTGGAACCGAGATTTGCTTGGCTTTACTCTGTTCATGTAAGGCAGGTACATAGGGTAATGTGTGCCCTCTCACCAACATCTTTCTTCTAAATGACAACGTTACTCATGACTCGCCCAGGCATCTCTAATTCTTTATTTCATTACTTTATATATTGTATCATTTTGCTTAGATTGTAGTAAACTTTGATAAAGCTTACCAGCCAACTGCATCACATTCCATTTTGATTTTACACTACTAATATCTAGTGTTACACATTCTAGCTTTTACTGGCATGACATAACATGTATATTTTACGAGAGATCAGAAAGGGTTGCACATATAAGAAGCATTACCTTTTGCTCCTTAGTGTCAGAATTTATTTAAGTTCTTGCATATTGGCCTTGTAATTTGCCATTTTGCATTTATGTTCATATCATAAGTCTCACCCCTACGAAAGGGGTTTCTTGATGCTAGTGAAGGGCTCTTTATCCACAGAATTGGAGATACCCTCCCCATCCTTACATCAGACTTGATTACCTTTCATTCCCATGATACTGTATGACCCTTGTGGGCTTAGCTCTTCATTATTATAATAATAGTCTACCTCACCTTTTAAGTTTTAGTTATTCACAGTGTGTTGGCTCATGTGCTGAACAGTAGCTAAGAACTCCTGAGGATGTTACACATGCATAAAGGATACTGTGCCTTGACAGTGCCTGAACCGTGGACTCTAGCCTGGCTTGCATCGCTTGTTGATGAATCTTATTCTGCTTCATCCTCTTACTTTATCATGTCACAAGGTGTGACATGTTCTTTTCTATTTTTCTTTTAAGAGTTTGAATTCTTCCTATGTAGGTATTTAATGCCTGTCACATTTTTGTATTTAACATAGAAACATCTCTCCTCTTTTTTTAACAACTTTGAAAAATTTTGCTTTACAGTAGAAATATTTTGCATTAAAAAGGTTATTAATTTATTCTATTATTGTTCTGATTAGTATTAATGTATTTAAATTGTGCAATATGTGTGCGTGTGTTGTTTTATACAGGATCTTGGTAATTGTAATACTACAGTTAGTGATGAAGTTCACCATAGTAATTTTTTGTAATTAATAAAATACTGCAATTTATCAAACTGAAAAATTGAGATTATTTGATTACCTTGTAAATTATGTATTGCATTAAGCTTTATAACGTGGTGTATCGAACAAAAAGAGAATGAACCCTCATGGATTGAGCTCTTGATTTCCATAAAGTAACAAACATTATAAAATATTTGTAGAAATGCTGTATTGTAAAATTCTGCAGGTAAAATTATTATTATAATCAAAAAGAAGCGCTAAGCCACAAGGGCTATACAGCTCTGCAGGTAAAAGTGACCACCATTTAATTGATATGTGCCACAATAATTTGTCTAAGCAAAATTGTTAAACACAGGCAATTTTTCTATTACCTCCATCATAACATTTCTTGGGCAAAGAAGTCTCGAACTTTTCTCATTAGCACACAAGATTTCTGTAGATGCAGTATGAATACAAGTAATTTACAGCTTAGCTTAATTTTCATCTTTCCATCCCCCTCCCACCCCCCAAAACATAGCTACTAGTAATTATTGGCTGATTGGCATGACAAGTTTAGGATAGTGTGGTTGTGTGTTCACGAGAAGCAGGGGCAGAATCATCTGCCTCGTCTAAAAACTTTAGGAAATTGGATCTGATTCGGCTCCCTGAATTGAGCCTGAATACTTTCCACTCCCCCCCCCCCACCCCTCCACATGCGCTGTATAATCCTATGGGTTTAGCGCTCCCCCGTGATTATAATAATCTTCAAGGTTTGCTGTGTGAGGATGGCTGTTGATGAAGGTTACATTACTTGTAGAGGGCCATTCTGTAGCTACCACTCCTTTCTTTGAGGCTGTCTTCATCAGAGTTGTAAAAGTCCACACTTTCTACATGCCACACCCTGTAGCACTGCACCACATAGCCTCGAGTTCTACGACTCGCTTGCCACGAGTTCTAACCCCCACCCATACCCTGGTTTGTTTGCAATCGTGTTATTATGATTGCATGGCTGACTTATATCAATGTTATATTTGCATACTGTAATATTTGCATTGATTACATGCCCTGAAGATCTCCAAACTTGCTTTCAGAAGTTAGAAACCCTTAGATATTCTCCTTCAAGTCAATATAGATTGCTGTGTCAGCATTGTCATATCCCATTCTTTCCCTAACATGATGTGTTAGTCTTTAAGATGCATCAGCTTCATATAGTAAGGGGTTCAACAATAAGATACCAGTATTTCTTTGACATTCATATCCAGTATCCTTGGCAAGTCCCAGAATCTTTCTCTGTATATGTGGAGTAAGCTACTAGAATCCATGGAAATCATTCCCACTTCCAAACTGTTGCTTTTTCCCACACTATTGTGGCCACTGAGTTGCTGAAATGGCATCTCTAAATTTTCCGCAGAACTTCAGAATCATTGGCTTATCTTCACTATCAATCTCTGATGAGTTCGGAGTAGGTTCTCCTTAAATAATAACCTTGAATATGGCTATAACATCTTAATTCATTTTTCTGAATTAAGAATTTGCATTCTTGGAAAGAAATGACTTGTGTGGAAAACTTTTCAAACAAAATTTACTAACATGCAACATTATCCAAAAGGATCATTATATGGCCTATACTTAATTCGTGTAGGTGGGAACAGTACTCTAACATGAGGCTAAGTTGAAAATGCCCTGCTGCATTGCCTTCTCATCATGAATAGATACAAAGATTGACTTTTACCTCCAGTACAATGCAGCTTTATAAACGTTAAATACTTATTACAATATGTAGCTTACTTTCCTCCATGATCTTCAAAATATCCTCATATGAGGGAGCTGCTGCAGTATCAGTACTTAATCTCACTAGTGTCTTAAATGTTTCAAACTATTTTTTACTAGTTTCAAAATGATTCATTTCCAGACTTTTCTTCTCAATATTCTTATCCAGACTCCTCACCTTCTGAAGAGCCAGTGTGCTAAGAGGTTTCATCAATTTGGTCCTCCATCAAAGCTGAGAAGCCTTTTCATTCCCTTTATTAAATTACTCTGAATAAAAGTTAGCCTAGCAACAGTTACGAGCTTTGGCAACCAGCTCTAGTTTCTCATCATTATCAAGACAGTCATTTTGGTATTTACAGTAATGCTTTTACTCTTATCCTTCACACCACTACAATTTTTTGAACTCTCTTTGGTGAGGTAAAACATACTAAAAAGCATTGAAGTAAAGTAAAATGTAAGTCACGGTTTCACTAGCAACAAAACAGTAACAAAGGCTGGGTACCTCATGACCTCAACTGCCCTAGGACACTAGCCTGCTTATCACACATGTTCATCTGTTTGTCCCAAGAGTGCATGGATAAACTTGATTGAAGTGATGTAGTCAGATATTTGTTATTAAAGTTTTGTGGCCTAATTTTTCAACTAATTTCTTAAAAATGTCTAAGCCACAGAGGTTGGAGAGGAAAAAGACAATATAAAATTTAATATACTATAATTTTTAGGCAGATAATTTTTTGCAGAAATACAGCATTTCATTATAATCACAACCTAAGTTAATTTATTAGTCAAAAAATATCTTATGAAATATTGCAAGTTTTACTTATGTCATATTCTGGTAGGCTGAGAGTGATGCTGGTGATGATGGTGAGTACTATGGAGTGGAGCTCCAGCGAGGCACCCGAGGCTTTGGTTTTAGTATAAGAGGAGGCCGGGAGTTCCACAACATGCCTCTCTTCGTCCTCAGGATTGCCGAAAATGGGCCAGCAGCAGAGGATGGAAAGCTGAAAGTAAGCTAAACTTTGCATTTACCCCTCTGCAACCTGAATGGTAGTTACCAGAATGAACATTGCTTCAAATTTTATAGCCATTTTGTCTGCACTGACTTGAACAATTCTCATTAAAATGACAACAGTACAATATTGTATGTTACTTAGATAAGTATATGTGCACAGAAATTATACCTTCTTGTGCATTTAATTTTTATAAATTTAACAGGTTGGAGATCAACTAATGGAAATAAACGGGAGATCAACCAAAGATATGACCCATGCTGATGCCATAGAACTGATCAAACAGTGTGGGAACAGTGTCTCCTTACTGGTAAAACGCGGTGGAAAGCTTCCACAACACCTAGGTAAGCAATATTTTTATCTTAATGCAGTATTTTATTTACATTTTGGCAATCCATCCATTATATCATGAAATTTTCTTTTGAAACATTCTTATGCATTTTGTGTTCAGGAAAAGAAAAATGAGAGAATTCTTAACTCCTCTTGTTCTTGGTAAGCAAGAATGAGTCTGCCACAGAAAATGCAGGCAATAGGGACATTTGTAAATACTGTACTCCATTAAAGGGATGTGCATATATGAGTGAGAATACTGGTACAGTGGACCCCAGAGTTTTGTGATAAATCAATTCCAGAGTGTCTGCTGAATGGCAAAATTCAAGACTGGCAAAACCATTTTCCCCTTAAGGAATATAATGGAAATTCAGTTAATACTTTTGGGTGTCTGAAATAGATTAACAAAAAAATTTTTTTTTTAAATATTATAGATTTACATACAAAAAAAATGACAAATCAATATAAAGCACTAATAAGATGGATAAATGAACATTTAACATCACACTTACCTTTATTGAAGACCCTTATTGGTATATGGTAGACAGGTGGGAGGCGAGTTTATTATGCTTCAATATGACGCTAATATCTCTACAGCTTATTTATCTATCACATTTCATCTAATATGACATAATAAACAATAGTAATAACATAGAAACACGATATATATATATATATATATATATATATATATATATATATATATATATATATATATATATATAATATATATATATATATATATATATATATATATATTATATATATATACTCTAGAATGAATAAAATATGTCATAACGTAAGTGAGGAGTAAATGGTGGTGGTGTTGGGTTTATAAGGGCCACTGAAAGAAGCCGTACACATTAGTGGTAGTGGAGGCGGCAGCAGAAGCCACCAACACTATTCACACTGAAACAATGTACGTAATTTATAAATAAATATTTATACTTTAATTTATAAATAAGAAATATTTACACTTACTTTGGAGATGTTAGTTTGATGGAGGAGATGCTGGCAGAGGTTTAGGGTGGTGGAAGATAGCAGGGCAGCATATGTTCAGTGGCCCTATACACCAACAACATTGGAGAGTTACTTTCATGCCGTTTTTCTATCACTTAATCACTTAACTTACTTTCTACATCGTTAATGCTACACTTTATCGCTGGCTGGCGCTATAGCCTTTATCGATACCTGCTGCTTTAGTATCATACATATCGTAGAATCACTGAAGAAGGCACATTCTTCCCTCCCTCTTCCTCCTCCACTTTGGTACGAGTTTTTTCTTGAATTCTATTTTGTTTTTTCCTTCTTTACCAAAGGCCTGGCACTAGGAGCTTTCTTTGGACCCATGGTGGCTTATTTAGCAGTTGCAAGCACAAAAAACAATGGATTATGAAATATATTGTATGAACCCGTGGGGTGATGGTCACTCGCTGATAAACAATGGCACACTGAATGTGAATGGTGCAGGAGACTGGCTTTGTGTGCGCACTGACACTGGGATGCTGCTCGGATGCGTACCAGACATCGCCGAATCACGAGGCCAATCACAAACTGTGAGGCTATATTTTGACAAAAAAAAAAAAAGTTGCTGAAAGTCGGATTTCACGAAAGTCGTGGCCGCCGAAATGCGAGGGTCCACTGTATCAGCATATCAGAAAATGTTCAGATATGCTAAGGATGGGAGAAGTGTTGCTTTAAAAAGAAATGTAAGTACTTCCATCCAGAGATGTGCAAAAATCTCTCTACAGCTCAGAAAATGTTATGATCTCAGCTGCCCAGGCTACATGTGAAAGAAATGTGATGCTACCAAGAAAGCAGGGTTATGGAAAATGAAGAGTATTCTTTTTTAGACTGGAATAGAAGTGGGTGAAATCATTTTTGTTTGTATTTTTACAGTAAACTTGAAATCTTAGATTGTCATCTACTTTGTGAATGAGGACATCTAGAAAAGGTAGCTTGTCATTGGACTCTTCTTCTAGTGTAAACTGGATAGCTGGTTTAACTGCGTTGAGCCTTGCCTGAAGATTCTGCAAATCAAAACGTTTGAGTTATTGAGTTAAGAAATCGTAATGACACGATTGCAAATAAACCATATGTGGACGTTGTCCACATAATTTAACAGTGATGCTGGTGAAGTGTTCAGCTTCCAGGTGCTCCATATACAAGTTTGCTAGGATGGCACTGATGGGGAACCCCATTCCTATACCTTAGGTTTCTTTGTAGATCCTGTTATTGAAAGTAATGCAGAGTTCAATGAAGTCGACAAAATCTCCGGGAGGTGGATGACGGTTAAGGTCCTGATTGACTTTACATCATAGAACGTCAATGGATTGTGTGGTAGGTACTTTAGTGAAGAATGCTTAAGATGAGCAGGGCTGATGATCCCCAGAAGGCATGAGAGATGTTTGGCAAGAACTCTGGCTAGTTTTTGGGGTGCACAGCCTATACCTGATGTAACTGGTCTGAGAGGAATATGTTTATGGGTCTTGGGTAAACCATACACATGTGCTGGTTTAGGGCTGCTGGGTATCAAGTACAGAAGTTTCTTCCTTTCACTAGTACAGTGGACCCTCGTTTTTCGTAATTCGTTCCAGAGAGTGTGACTATTATAGAAATTGACGAGATGCGAATCCATTTTCCCCATAAGAAATAATGTAAATCCAATTAATTCGTTATAAGACACCCAGAAGTATCAAAAAAAATTTTTTTACCTTAAAGATAGATTTACATGCACAAAAGAATGAACATTCAACATGACAGTTACCTTTATTGGAGGCTATTGTTGATGAATGGAAGACAGGGAGGAGGAGAGAGGGAAGAGAGGTTATTGTTTGGAAGGGAAATCCCCCTCCATAAGGACTCCAGGTCACTTCAGGGGTCACTTCCCTAGCTTAAATATAGATTTACATGCAGAAAAGAATACCAAATAAATGTAAAGCACTTATAAAATGTATAAATGAACATTTAACATCACACTTACCTTTATTGAAGACTTGGTGTTGGGCAGAGGGAGGGGAGGCGAGTTTAGAGTTTATTATTGGAGAATATGACACTAATATCAACTCTACGGCTTATTTATCTATCACAATTCAACTAATATGACAAACAATATTAATAACATAGAAACATGGAATATACTTTAGAATGAATAAAATAAGTCATTATGTATGTTACGAGAGGTGTTGTGTTGTTGTTGGGTGTATAAGGGCCACCGAGAGCATAAGCCATCCATAATGGTGGTGATGCAGCAGCTGAGGCGGCGGTGTTTTCTGTAGCCCTATGTAACTCCAACAACGTTGGAGGAATTGGTAGAATTGCTGAATCACTGAAGAAGCCACCCTCTACCACCATCAGTACCACTGTACCCCACCACTTTCTTTACCAAAGGGCTGGCACTAGAAGCTTTCTTTGGAGCCATGGTGGCTTATTTAGCAGTTGCAAGCACTAAAACGAATGGAATATTATGAAATGTATCATATGAACTTGTGGGATCATCCTCAATCACTGAAAAACAATGACACACTGGCTGGGAATGGAGTGTGAGGCTGCTCAGGGCCACGCATACGCATCTGACGAGTCAAACAACGATTTTCGAGTCAATGTTTTGATGAAAAAAAGTTACGATTTTCAGAAATTACGACTTCCGAGCCTTACAAAAAACAAGGGTCCACTGTACGTTTGAGTACAGGTTGGCCATCAGTACTCCGGCACCAATTTTGGCTAGCATAATTTCAAATTTCCAGGGTCACAACACCAACCTGCCGCTGCTGTTTGGTGGTGTTGCTGCACAAGGCATTCCAATTTCTTTTTCTCCATTTATTGTTATAACTTGCTCACTTTTAGCCCTAGCCATGGTTCCAACAGATAAAAGAAATGCTTTTCGTTGTGTAAAGCACATACACCATACATTGTCCATAAAAGATAAGGTGGTTTTGAAGCCACTGTCGGTGGCCATGAGCACAGCTCCCTCGGATAAGCTGTGACTAGTAAATTTGGGCCTACATATGAGAGAATAGGTCTGTGTACACTATATAAAAAAAATTCTGCAACACATAGTGCATAATGAGAAAAATAGCGACTGTGCTTTTGGTGGAAAACAGCGACTTAGCTGTGTATTTTCATATGGTTTGTATGGTTGTATTTTCGTTTCTTGGTCTCATTTGATAGACTAGAAGATATGTTACAGAAATAGATATAATTTTGATTGGTTTCATACCGGAGTGTACCTCAAAATTGACCTCAAAGTAGTGAAAATGTTCAATTTTTGCCGATATTCAAGAGTAAACAAATGACGTTACCGTCCAACTGGCCAGTCTAATATGCAGTCATGAATGGGTTGACATTATTTATACAATTACAGCCTCTCCTCACTTAGCAATGTACTCGTTTACCAACAACTCGGACTTATGACTGGCTCTCTGACCAGTGTGCATACTTAAATAATGTATATTAGAGTGGATTGGCTATATTCTGTTTATTACAATATACACTGATACAGTACACTACTATACAAACGTTTAAAAATATACCAGAAATGTTATAAATGGTGCAAAGGTGACATTAAAACAATATCAGAGATGGTTGACACAAACCCACTACCATTATAGTATGCTCCTCACTTAGCAACAAATTTGTTTACCAACATGGTCTAAGGAACAGAACTCCGTCAAGTGAGGAGAGGCTGTTTACAATAATACAGTAGTCTGCATAAGAGTAAATCTTTTATTTTTTGTGTGTGAAAAAAATTCAAAATGGAAAGCAAGTGTAACATAACAGGAGCTTGGAGACATCACTAATGAACAGAGAAAATTTAGTGCTAGGAATGTCTGCATTGTTTATTCAGGATCCTATTTAGAAATTGGCATCTATTGAAATTTGTGTGAAATTGCCCAAATTATCAATTTCTGACCACTTTATTGGGTAGTTGAAATAGGTAAATGGGCAGTTTCTTGTACTCAATTGACAGAAGGAATACCAGAAAAATAGCTATGAGTTTGGTAGACTGGAAGAA